CCCAGATTTGGTTAAAGTGGCCCAGCAGACCGACAGAACAGTAAAACGTTATGTCGGAGAGGCTGGAAAATAATACACCTTTGATATTTCAAAAACTAATGAAATTTTTGACCACCTTAAAAAGAGTGGTTTAATTAAGTTGCCGTCGGAACATAAAATCCCAATGGCTGGCGAAAATGGAAGTAGAGAATATTGCAAATATCACAATTCTTGAAAACATTCCACTAATAATTTTGTGATTTTTCGGAATGTTTTACAGGATAAAATCGACAAGGGAATTCTGCGCTTTCCAGATAAGGCCAAAGAAACTATGGGAGTTGATGCAGATCCATTCCCTACCATGTCTGTTGTGGTGAACGCGGCAGATCTCAGGAGCATTACTAGAGACAGAACTCAGACATACTATAGGCGCAGACTTGCAGCTGATGATCTGAGGTGGGTCATTGAGGAGGCCATGGCGCGCAGAAATCAGGTTAGATCAGGCTCATACCGAAGGAGACAGCTCGGGGGGCATAACTCAACTCAACAGAAAAATAATGCAAATCAGGGAACTGCGATATCTGGACGTGCAGAAAAGCCCAGAATGGTGAAACCATCACCTAGATCTCCAACCAAACGATGGGAACGTGTGGTGCATCCAAAATTTCCTAAAGGTCAGAATCCAAGGACCTTGAGGAGGCGTTTACAACGCAAAAGGGTTGTAGAAAGACACCAATAGTAGATTACAGACTCGGGGGGCATGGCAGATCAGGCACAGCCGCTCCCAGCAAGAAGAAAATCAGTGTGGGTCCGTAAAAAAAAAGGGAGCACATCTGGTCAGAATTCTCCAAAAAAGGAGGAACCACCCAAAAGTCCAACATCGCCTCGAGTTCTGGCTGTAGAATCCAATGAAGAAACTGGTTTGAAGGCGAAGTTTGACGTGTCAGATAAAGCGGAAATTTCATCAGATGTAATTTGTTTTGGTGAGTTTTTCGTGAATCTATCTTGCTTGGTGATCACTCTTCCTTTGGTCTTTCAAGCAAGAGAGCAGCCAGAATCTGCAGTCTATCACCAGACAGATTTGACTGAGGAAGAAGAAGTCATTGAAATCCCAGCCAAGGAAGATGGTGGCATGGATTCAGCAGATAAAATCATTTTCGAAAAACCAGAAAAGAGAATGACCAGGCACATCAGGCCATTATACATTCATGCACATCTGGACGGTATGCCAATAAATCGAGTTCTGGTGGATAATGGAGCAGCTGCCAATGTTTTGCCAACTTGTATTCTCCACAAGATTGGCAAATCTTTGGGTGATTTAATGGAGACAGAAGTGACAATCAGTGACTTTACTGGTGGAGTAAATCGCTCAAGGGGAATTCTGCCAGTAGAACTTACCATTGGGAATAGAACTCTCATGTGTGCATTCTTTGTGGTTGACACCATTGCCACTTATAATGCATTGCTTGGGAGAGATTGGATACATTCCAGCTGGTGTGTTCCTTCAACTTTACATCAAAAATTGATATTTTGGAATGGTGGCAGAACTAAAGTCGTGATAGCAGATGACAAACCTTTTGTGGCAAGTACCAATGCAGTGGAAGCTCGTTATTATGATGAAGATATTGGGACTATCCGTTTCTTTGGGATGGACCGCTATGGCAGACCTTCTGGAATTACTGCATGCACCAGATCTGCAATGGACAGACAGACTGTGAAGGAGGTGTGTGATGAACTACTTCGGCCTACAGCAATCGTTCCTTTTAGGCCGAAGGAGGAACCTGAAATTGAAGAAATTCCATGAAGAAAGACCGAATTAAGCATCAAAAAAAGGAGGCCGTGGAAGAAATTAAGAGAAAATTAGCGGCTTACCTTGTTGAAAAATGAATCTGTGTAGACAGATTTGAAGTAGTCTATGAAGGTGAAGAGGAAGATTTGAAGGATCAGATAACACTAAAGGAATTAGATCTGGCACCAGCAAAGCTTGATGATCTGAAAGCAGAGGTACAAGATCCCCTGGAGTAGGTAAATCTAGGTACTGAGGCAGATCCGAAAATTACTTTTATTAGCGGTTCTCTTGAGCCGTGTTTGCATGATAAAATTATTACTATTTTGCATGAGTACAAAGATTGTTTTGCTTGGGACTATTCTGAAATGCCAGGTCTGGACAGAAATCTGGTAGAGCACAGATTACCAATTAGACCAGATTTCAAGCCTTTTAAACAGCCGCCTAGACGAATGTCTCCAGAAGTTACTTTAAAAGTAAAAGAAGAGATAGAGCAGTTGTTGAAGGTCGGATTCATCAGGACTTCCAGATATATGGAATGGTTATCTAATGTGGTTCCTGTGGTTAAAAAGAATGGCAACCTGAGAATCTGTGTAGACTTCAGGAATTTAAATCTGGCAACACCAAAAGATGAATATCCTATGCCTGTTGCAGATTTATTGGTGGACGGTGTAGCACGCCACCGAATTCTGTCATTCATGGATGGCCACAGCGGGTACAACCAGATTTTTATAGCAGAAGAGGACATTCCAAAGACCGCTTTTCGCTGCCCAGGAGCTATTGGTACGTATGAATGGGTAGTAATGCCATTTGGTTTGAAAAATGCGGGTGCAACTTATCAAAGAGCCACGAACGCCATCTTTCATGACATGATTGGTCGTTTTATGGAAATTTATATTGATGATGTGGTTGTGAAATCTAATGAGGATGAAGAACATCTTGAGCATTTAAAGTTGGCTTTTGAAAGAATGAGAAAGCATGGTCTGAAGATGAATCCTTTAAAATGTGCATTTGGCGTTTCTGCTGGAAATTTTCTGGGATATCTGGTGCATGAGCGAGGTCTGGAAGTGGATCAGAACAAGGCAAGAGCTGTTATTGAAGCACAGCCGCCAAGAAGTAAGAAGGAATTACAAAAATTCCTTGGGCAAGTAAATTTTCTGAGACGTTTTATTTCAAATATGGCAGGAAAAACCAGAGTTTTTTCGCCACTGCTGAAGCTGAAATTAGAAGCAGATTTCAAATGAGAGAGACACCATCAGACCGCCTTTGAGGAAATAAAGCATTATTTATCAAAGCCGCCGGTCTTAGTGCCTCCGTTAAGAGATAAACCTTTGATTTTGTACATATCTGCCGCAGATGAATCTGTAGGATGTCTGCTGGCTTAAGAAAATAGTAAAAAGCAAGAACAAGCTGTTTATTATTTGAGTCGAAGTCTGTCACAGACCAAAGTGAAATATTCTTCGGTTGAAAAATTATGTCTTGCTTTGTTTTTTGTTGCAATAAAATTGAGGCATTATTTGCTTTATTCCGAGGTTTATGTTATTTCGAAAACTGATGTGATAAAGTACATGTTGTCTCAACCACTGTTGCGAGGCAGAATTGGGAAATGGGTTCTGGCTTTGTCAGAATTCAACCTGAAGTACATGCCTCAAAAAGCTGTCAAGGGGCAGGCTTTGGCAGATTTCCTAGCAGATCATCCGTGCCTTGAGGTAGAAGCGGATGAGGAAAAAGGTATTAATTTATTTTCCATAAGCCTAGTTCCTTGGAAGCTTATCTTTGATGGATCTAGCACAGATTCCATGTCTGGACCAGGAATTATTATTATTTCTCCAGCTGGTTTGAAAACCTAGATGTCATTTCAGCTAGATTTCAATTGTACCAACAACCAAGCTGAGTATGAGGCATTGATTATTGGGTTGGAAGTGTTGGTAGAGCTCAAGGTACCCATGGTAGAAATAATTGGTGACTCACAATTAATCTTGAAGCAATTAGAAGGTGAGTACAAGTGCACTAGTTTGTCTTTGGCACCTTATTTTGCTTTGGCAGTACAGCTCTTGGAGGAATTTGATGATGTAATCTTGAGGCATGTTACTCGAGATCTGAACATAGAAGCAAATGAGATGGCACAAATCGCCTCGGGCTTAAAAATCCCAGAAGGTGTGATGAGCAGAATTGTTGTTGTGGAAAAACGAATTCTGCCATCTATTCACATGCGCGGTATGGCAATTTCTGCTTGTTCCATAGACAACCCAGACAGATTGGCGTTATCCAATCATGGAATATCTAAAAAATCCAAATTTTAAGGCCTCAAGAAGAACAAAAATGCAGGCCTTGAATTATGTTCTGTTGGAAGGTGTTCTTTATAGAAGAGGATATGATGAATTACTTCTGCACTGTCTTGGTCCAGATGAGTACTGCCAGATTATGTCAGATGTGCATAACGAAATCTGTGGTGCACACCAAGCTGGAATTAAGATGAGATGGCTAATTCATAGACATGAGTTCTTTTGGCCATCAATCTTGAAAGATTGCATCAGTTATGCTAAATGTTGCAAAGCCTGCCAGATTCATGGACCTTTGCAGAGAGTTCCAGCGTCAGAACTCCATCCAATCGTCAAACCATGGCCATTTTGAGGGTGGGCCATAGATTTGATTGGTAAAGTTTATCCTCCTTCCACTAGAGGGCATTCTTTTATTATTGTCGCCACAGATTACTTTACCAAGTGGGTGGAAGCAAAGCCAATGAAGAAGGTTGACCAGACCGATATTATTAAATTTCTCAAGGAGGAAATCATTCACAGATTCGGTCTGCCAGAAACAGTGACTTCAGATCAAGGGACAGTTTTTGTTGGTGCGCAAGTTGAAGCATTTGCAAAAGAAATGGGATTTAGGTTACTCACTTCAACCCCTCATTATGCTCAAGCCAATGGTCAAGCTGAAGCTTCCAACAGAATTGTGATAAATCTGCTGGAAAAAATGGTTGATGATAATCCAAGACGTTGGCATGAGCTGTTATCTGACACAATCTGGGCTTACAGAACTTCACAAAGGAGTTCTACCAAGGTAACTCCATTCTCTTTAACTTATGGACATGATGCTGTTCTGCCCATGGAGTTGTCTGCTAGATCATTGCGTATAGCGATTCAACATGGTCTCACTTTTGGAGAATATAATGAAGCAATGATTCTAGAGTTAGAAGACCTTGAAGGGATGCGATTGACGGCCTTGGATAGGCTGCAAACGCAGAAATTAAAAGTGGCTCGAGCATACAACAAACGGGTGAAATCCAGAAGTCTGGCAGAAGGAGATTTGGTATGGAAAGTAATTCTGCCACCTGGAAAGAAAGACCCCAGATTTGGGAAGTGGTCTCCAAATTGGGAAAGACCATTTCGTATACACGAAGTGCTTAGAGGAAGAGCATATTGGCTTGAGTCATTAAATGAACAATTACATCCTCGAAAAATAAATGAAATCTACCTTAAACCTTACTATCCTATGATATGGGAGGCTAGAGGTTTGGATACCATTGATTCTACCTGAGACAGATTTGAGATAAGATTTGTACAGTATTTTATTCCATTATTTTAAGCATTTTATCATTCAATAAAAAGTGCTGAGCGAAATCTATGAGTAAGCCAGATCTGGCTGTGAACCACCACAGCAGCCAGATTTCGGCCATGACAGATTTCAACCTGTACCAGAATATGAACAAAAAGTACAAGCAGCAGATTTCCAGAATATGAGCCAAGAAAGAAATCAACATTGAAAAAGAAGTTTGCATGGCCAATAGGCCGCAAACAATATGTTCAAACATGACAATGTGCAATTCCAACCAACAAAGAGACAAGAAGATACATAAGAGAAAAATCAACACAGGTTGTTTTGCCATGAACTCCATTCTTCTCTCATGGTCTTTATCTCTTTAGCGGCTTCATCTGCAGAGGCTATGAAGGAAGGTAGCTGCTCCTTGATCTTGGCAGTAGATTTCAATCCAGTTTCCATGTCCATGCAGAGCTTGTTTCTTTGTTCTGCCAAATTCTTCTCACTTTGCTCCGCAAGAGGAACTTGGTTTCTCAACTTCGAAAGCTCGGCTTCAAGGCTAGAGATTTTTTCTTTGAGCCATTGGAGATGCTTAATTTGCGTGACATGAGCCTCCTTTGCTGCCATGAATTCTTCCTTCTTTTTCAAGACAGCGGCAGTGCTGTCCGCTACAAACTTCCTGACAGAATCTGCAGCCGCTACTTTGCTTTCAAGCACCCGGAATTTTCTGTTGAAATGGGTGTAGATGGTGGTGAAGTCTACCCAAAACTTTTGCTGAGTAGATGATAACTGTGGAGCCCGACTAAGGATTTGAGCCGCTTCAAAGGCGGCTGGCTGGTCCGGCACCTTGCAGAAATGGGAAGGACCGCCATCAAGGAGCTCCTGCAAAGTCATGATCGCAAAACTAATCTGCTCCTGATTAGGAAGGTTGATGTCAAAATCCACTTCTTCAGCAACTGCCTTCCCTTTACTATCTATGGTAGATCTAGATTTAACCGGAGTATCCATCAACATGTCCAGCTGAGCAAGGAGTTCATTCTCCAAATCATCATCAATCATGAGCACATCAGCAGCAACACTATAAAATGTAAAGACAAAAGATCAAAAATGGTAACTGGCAGATTTGGTGACAGATTTCAAGATCTAAGCAGATTTCAGAACAGTAAAACAACCTCAATGTCATCAAAATGAACATGCCTAGCAGGAGAGGCTACGGGTGTAGGGGTATTCTCTTTGTCTGGGTTTAGATCGATGAGTTCATTCGGTCTAACTGTTCTAAAGC